AAGGAATGTAATGAGGCAAACGAAAATGCGTGAAGTGTGATTTGAACATGCATGTGATTGCTTATAATATGAGTATGACTAACGTGTAGGGCGCAAGCTAGATAGGCCCAGGTAAAGTAAATTGATGTGCCTGCTATGGGATTATGTGGCGTAGGTGTGTGATTGTGTTTTGTGAAATTGTCTAGAGGTACGTGATAGCCTAGGTGGGGTTTAGGGGTGAACTTGCTTAGAAGTGTTCTCACGGTTGTTTCAACCAAACATATCAGAACCCCGATCGGATCCATGAATCCTCCACCGCAGCCACCAGAGCGTTTTAGGGTACCCGTGCACATTGAGTTGGACGTTACAAAGTTTCCGATGGGTGATAACTTTACCTGGATTAAGCACACTTCCACAGTATTTGTAGATGTAGGTTTACCTCTTTTTGAGGAGCATAAATACACTGCCTGGTTCTTTCGGGATGAAGCCGGGGACGAGTTCGGGCCCATTAGGGGTTTTGATGTCCCGTTTGACTTAGTTGGAGACTGGGATCCGTCTGCCATACCCCCGATAGATGGAGAACTGACTAGTGCGGAGACCAGTTTAGCTTAGTCTGGATTGCATCCAGCAGCTGCCGCTCAGGCATCTTCGGGGGCTGAGCACGAACCCGAGCCCGAAGCATCGCAAGCTGAAGATGATCCAATGGACATAGATTTAGAACCGATTCCCGAGGAAGAACCAGAGGAAATGGAACCTGAGGTGGAACCTGAAGTGGAGCCCGAGGTAGAACCCGAGGGCGAAACCGACGAGTCTGAACAGCCTGGGGAGGAGCCGAATTATATACTCCCGTATGAGCAGTATATGGATCCTAACTATGTGCCGGAATTTAATCTCTTTGAAGGACTAGTTGGGGAGGATCATAATGAAGTTCCAGCCGAGTCGGGTGACATTAACCACCCGATCGAGATCGAGGCGAAGTCAGAGTCTTCGGAGGAGCAGACTAATCAGGAGAGTGTAGATTTGGATGACGCGGAGTCAGACTCAGAATGGACGCCGAGTAAGGGGCGTAGGGGCTAATAGAGGGGTTCATAATAGGTTTTTTAGAGTACCATTTTTGGCGGAAAGATATCCAGGTCCTCGGTCCTTTTTGTTATCGACAGATGTAGTTCGGTATGCACCTGTATATTTAGTGACTTGTAGTTTTTGGGGTACTTGCATATGTTGTGGTTTTGTAACTGTAAATATTATGGTCTAAGTGTGGCAATGGGAAATGAAAATGTACATTCTCCCTATTCTCCCTAGTTTTATTTGTCAGGGATTAATTGTTAGTATCCGCTGTGGTTATAAATCTCTGATGGCGATTTGAGGTCGGCGACATTCCTGGGACGTCGCATAAATCGACCAGTTAAGGGTAAGTCTTATGCTCGTTGGGGTTTGGGATGTGACATCCCCGTTTGAATTGGTACCAGAGCAAGGTCTGCTCGATCTAAAACTGGTCGAAGTTGGAGTGAAGAGGAGCAGAGATTTTTGGGGTAGAAATTAGGGAGACTATAGTGAGCTATAGAGCGATATGAGCTATACGTGCCTCCAGATTGCTTGTTGTGACTGATTGAGTGGATTGTTTGCTGTGATAGTTGTTTGTTTGCTATGTGAATTATTGTGTTAATTCACTGCCTAAAACTAGACTGATCTAGTTGGCTTAGATTACTAATTCCTGAGTGGAATTATAGCAGGTAGGAGAGTGGTAGAGTTGCGACAATGAACAATGAAGGAAGAGGCGTAGGAAGAGTCCCAAGAAGGGACGCAGGAAGAGGAACGAGAGGTCGAGGTCGTGCTCGAGTTAGGGCTATCGAGGACCTCGGACTGGGTGCTAGAGCAGTAGAGAATCTTGGAGTAGATGTTGAAGCTGCAGTGGACCCTAGAGTGGAAATTAGACCTGCTGAGGATCCTTGAATGGTAGTCGTTATGAGGACGTTGGAACGGATCGGAAATCTGTTAGAACAGCAGACTCAGAAAAGAGCTGCTCCGATTGCCCAAGCTGCCGAGGTCGCTGAGGCCGCCGCTGCTGTCAATAATAATGAGAACCAAAGGCATGGGCAAGTGATTGTAAATAGACCAATGCATCAGTTGGTAAAGCAGTTTATAAAGCCGAAACCGCCTAAGTTTTCTGAAAAAAGGTGATCCTGAGGCTCCACCTCGATGGGTAGAGGAGCTCGAAAAGGCTTTTCAGGTGTTAGAGTGCAATGATAATGAGAGAGTAACTCTGGCAGTATATCAGTTGCAGGATAATGCAACGATTGGTGGAAAGCCACCAAAGACAGGATTTTTCCGGAAGGTACAGCTCGGACTTGGGCTATTTTTACTGAAAAGTTTTATGAAAAGTATTTCTTGGCAAGTGCTAGGGAGAAAAAGCTAGCAGAGTTTATGAGACTCCGTCAGGGTCAGATGACGGTGGATCAGTATGAGGCGGAATTTGTGAGATTGTCTAAGTTTGCACCGAGAATGGTTGAGCATCCCAAGGATAAGGCGCGAAGATTTCGGGACGGATTGAGGACTGATATCCGTAGCCAGTTGTTACTGGTAAATCTGGGGACTTACGAGGAAATGTTTGATAGGGCCCAGATTCTAGAGCGAGACTAGGTGGATAGGGCCGCCGCTTCCGGATCGAGGTTTAACCCAGGTAGGGATAATCGCAATCCTGGGAAGAGGCCGATGATAGATAATAGACACTTTACTCCTTCTGTTAAGAGAGATATTGGGATGCCGGCCCGGAGTCAGAATGGACCGTGTAGGATTTGTGGAGGTCGACACGGGAATGGATCTTGCCCAACCCGGGGCGGAACGTGTTTTGGATGTAGAGGTTTTGGTCACCACATAAGGAATTGCCCCAATCCCAGGCAAAATATGCCGCTTGCGTTGCCGCCACCTCGGAACGGGAATTAAACTGGAGTGGCCCAGACAGTAAATCAGAATAGGCCACCGGCAGAAGGACGAGTGTATGCCATTGCCAGATGAGAGGCTGAGAACGTACCAGGGGTTGTCACAGGTACGATTTCTCTGTGCAACCATGCTGCGTATGCTTTATTTGACCCTGGGGTGTCGCATTCTTTTATATTGAAACAGTTTGTTGAGTTGCTTGGAATAAAACCGCAATTGCTTGATGTTGTGCTATGCGTGACGACTCCCTTGAATGAAAAGATGTTGGTCTCAATGGGATGTCCGGATTGTACGATTGTAATTGGGGATAGGGAAGAAAAGATTGATTTAGCGGTTCTAGATATGTATGATTTCGATGTAATTGTGGGTATGGATTGGCTGTCTAAGCATAGGGCTGTAATGGATTGCAATAGCAGGGTGATCCAATTTAATCCAGTTGAACATCCGAAATTTAAATTTGTGGGAAGTCGAGGAGGACCCTCAATTCCATGGATTTCGTCATTGAAAATGATGAAATTGTTGAGTGAAGGTTGTCACGGATTCCTAGCTGCAGTAGTTGATTCAACGGCTGATGAGCCGAGGCTTGAGGACATAGCCGTGGTGTGCGAGTATCCCGATGTGTTTCCTCAGGAATTGCCGGGACTACCACCAGCTAGGGAGGTAGAATTTGTGATCGAGTTGGCACTGGGAACTGAGCCAATCTCGAAAGCACCTTATAGAATGTCGTTGTCAGAATTAAAAGAATTAAAGGTGCAAATGCAGGAATTGTTAGACAAGGGATTTATTCGTCCCAGTGCGTACCGGTGTTATTTGTTAGAAAGAAAGACGGATCATTGAGATTGTGTATAGATTACAGGCAGCTGAATCAGGTGACGATAAAAAATAAATATCCCTTGCCGAGAATTGATGATTTGTTTGATCAGTTACAAGGGGCTTCGGTGTTCTCTAAAATTGATTTGAGAACGGGGTATCATCAGTTGAGGATTAGAAAGGAGGATATACCGAAGACGGCATTTAGGATGAGATATGGACATTACGAATTTACAGTAATGCCGTTCGGATTAACGAACGCCCCTGCTGCCTTTATGGATTTGATGAACCGGGTGTTTAAGGAATATTTAGATCAGTTCATGATTGTTTTTATTGATAACATATTGGTGTATTTAAAAAGTCTCGAGGAACATGAATTCCATTTGAGAAAGGTCTTACAGACGTTAAGGGAGAACGCACTGTACGCTAAGTTTAGCAAGTGCGAGTTTTGGCTCAATCGAGTAGCGTTTTTGGGACATGTGATTTCCGGAGAAGGAATCTCTATGGATCCATCGAAAATTGAAGCTGTGATGAAGTGGCCTAGACCAACGACAGTAACTGAAGTCCGGAGTTTTCTGGGTTTAGCTAGATACTACCGTCGTTTTGTGGAAGGATTTTTAGCAATAGCAAAGCCGTTGACACATTTGCTGAAAAAGGAAATGAGATTTGAATGGACAGATAAATGTGAGAGAAGTTTTCAGGAGTTGAAACATAGATTGACAACGGCACCGGTGTTGACGATTCCATTAGGACCTGGAGGGTATGAGATTTATAGTGATGCATCGTTGAAAGGATTGGGATGTGTACTCATGCAACATGGACAGGTAGTGGCTTATGCGTCGAGGCAGTTAAGACCGCATGAGTTGAACTATCCAACGTATGACTTGGAATTAGCCGCTATTATGTTCGCCCTGAAGATATGGCGACATTATTTATGCGGAGAGAAATTTCAGGTTTATACTGACCATCAAAGCCTCAAATACTTGTTTTCTCAGAAGGAGTTAAACACGAGACAACGACGGTGGATGGAATTGTTAAAAGACTATAACTGCGAAATTCTATATCACCCCGGAAAGGCAAATCAGGTAGCAGATGCGTTGAGTCGGAAGTCAAGCATTGCGCATTTGATGGTCAAGGAGTGGACCTTATTGGAGGAAGTGCGAGACTCGGAGTTTAAGTTTGAAGCAAGTCGAGTCTCAAGTTTTCTAGCCACACTCAGAATTGAACCGGAGATTCAGGAAAAGGTTAAGGCCTTACAGCCTACGGACTCAGAGATGCAGAAGATTATGGAGATGGATGCTACTAAGAGAAAACCAGATTTTCAGGTATCCGAAGACGGAATATTGAAATTCCGTGGACGTTTGTGTGTGCCTGATGATGTGAAGCTTAAGGAAGAAATCTTGTCAGAAGCGCATCGTAGTAGTTACAGTATCCACCCAGGTAGTATTAAAATGTATCGGAATTTGAGATAGTACTATTGGTGGAACGGTATGAAGGCAGATATTGCTAAGCATGTGGTTAAGTGCCTGACGTGTCAACAAGTGAAGGCACAACATTGTAAGCCCAGGGGATTGTTGCGACCGTTGGAAATCCCTGAGTGGAAATGGGAACATATAACTATGGACTTTGTGATGGGGTTGCCAAGAAGTCAAAGAGGCCATGATGCTATTTGGGTGATTGTCGACAGGTTGACCAAGTCGGCACAATTTTTGGCTGTGCGGAAGGATTTAGCATTAGATTGGTATGCAGAGTTATATGTGTAGCAGATAATTCGATTACATGGGGTACCGATAACGATTACGTCAGATCGTGATCCCAGGTTTACCGTCAATTTTTGAAAAAGTCTACAGACAGCATTGGGATCGAAGCTGCAGTTCAGTACAGCTTATCATCCATAAACGGATAATCAGTCTGAGAGGAAGATTCAGACTCTAGAGGATATGCTCAGGGCATGTGTGCTGGAGTTCCAGGGTAAGTGGGAAGAACAACTGCCCTTAGTACAGTTTGCATATAATAATAGTTTCCAGCAGAACATCGGAATGGCACCTTTTGAGGCACTATATGGTAGGGCTTGTAGAACGCCCGTGTGCTGGGATGAAGTGGGAGAAAGGACTATAACCGGACCAGAACTAGTTGAGCAATCGATTGAGGCGATTAAGATTATACGTGAAAGGCTGAGGACAGCGCAGAGCTGTCAAAAGAGTTACGCGGACAGAAGGCGAAGACCTTTGGAGTTTCAAGTCGGGGATCATGTTTTTCTTAAGGTATCGCCCATGAGGGGATTATCCGGGTTTGGTAAAGAGGGAAAGTTGAGTCCGAGGTACGTGGGACCATTTGAGGTATTGGAAAGGATTGGGGAATTAGCGTATCGTCTTGCACTTCCGCCGAATCTGTCGCAAGTGCATAATGTGTTCCACGTATCGATGCTGAGAAAATATGAACCAGACCCGATGCATGTATTAAATTACGAGGAGATCAAAATAGATGACAAGGTGTCTTATGTCGAGAGACCGATAAAAATTGAAGATCGCAAGGAACGAGTTTTGAGGAGCAAGACAATCCCGATGGTCAAAGTTATTTGGGAGCACCACGGGACTCAAGGCGCAACTTGGGAAAGTGAAGAGATGATGCAACGTCAGTACCCCAGTTGTTTGAATAAGCAGTAGAAGTTGTAAATTTTGGATAGTGGGGAGATTCGTAAATTTCGAGGACGAAATTTTTGTAAGGGGGGAAGAATTGTGACATCCCGAAAATTTGTCCATTTGGGATTTATAAATTATTGAGTTTTATAAATGTACTTGCAGTTAGTTCTCGCCCGGAACTCATCATTCTTGGGATACTAACCATTGGGGAAATGCTAAATTAGGGAACTAAATTCGTACGACTAATAGAAAATTCGATCGTGAATTTAATTTCGACCATGAAATCGCCGAGGTGATATTTTGAGCCACTGTTGGCCGATTCGAGGATAGTTAGGGGTCAGTTCATCACTGTCATAGTAGTGGATTGTGGGTGATTCCGCCGGACTGCGAAACGAATTGACGAACGATCCTGAACCTATATCGAACGATCGTACCCCACGGATCTAGCGATGGATCCTCGCGATTTTAATGACAACCGAAATTTTCACGAACCGAATGGACTTGCATGTGACTCGATGTATTTCCAGTCACGAGTCGAATATGCGAATTTCCCAAACAAGCCGCCCGTTAGTTCGAGAAACGCTCGAGTTGCGTTTAATACAATTTAATTATTTAATTTAGCCAAATCGGACACCGGAAAATTTGGAAGTCACAATGGGACGTTAGGACGACGTTGCAGTTGTAACGTGCAATTTTTGATGTGCTCGAATCCTTCGGAAAAATTCATTTTCGATGAGAAACGGAGAAACTGACCGTTTTACCCCTAAGAATTAACAAAGGGCATGTTTTATGGAAGAAGGGCATTTTGGTCATTTTGCCCTAACTTTTTGATTGGACAATTTTGCCCTTGAACTTTTTGAGAAATTACAAGTATACCCTTGGATATTTTTGGTAAGATTTGATCTGGGCCGTCGATTTCAAGATTAGATCGAATCTGGACCGTCGGATCAAAAAGATTAGACAAGGGCGTTTTGGTCATTTGCCGTTTTGGTCAAATTGGTCCAAGCCTTATCTTCTCTCTCTCCTCTCCCCCCTCTCATTCGGCCCCTCCCCCACCGTGAGCAGCCCCCCTCTTCCAATCTCTTTCTCTCCCTCACGTTGGCCGCCCCCCCATCGCCGGACCGCCGATTACCGTCCGCCGTGTGCCGTCGCCGCCCAAGCCGATCGCCGCCCAAGCCGATCGCCGCTCGCCGGGAGCCGTACGCTGTCACCGCCGCTCGCCGCCGTTCCCGATTGAGCGCCGCCGCTTTCTGTTCTAGCTGCGATAGTCTAGAACACGGGTAAGTCGCGCTCTAAACCCAACTTAGGATTTCGGGTATCAACGGGTGATTTTTGGGTGAAATCGGGTATAAGTTAGGTGCGGAATTGCATGAATTAAGAGTGGAAATTTTGTGGCGGGCCTTAGAATTTAATTCGGGCAATTTTTATTGGAAATTAGAGGATAACAATGGGCTGTGGACTACTGTTCATGGGCTGTGATGGGCCGATCGGGATGCAAGTTGGATTTTTAGAACCGAGAATTTATGGTGAAAAAATCCCGTGAAGGACCGGAAACGATTTGGCGTCGTTTGGTGGGAGAAAAATAGCGATTTCTATGTTTTATGTGCGTTTGAATTATAAGTGAGTTTGGGTGGTGAAATTGAGTGTGCAATGGTGCAATTGGCTGATTGAATTATGTTAATTATGTGCACGTTTGGGCCAGATTGTTTTAATTATTAAAATTGGCCGTGTTGACTGCTGAGTGAGCATGGTTTGTGTATAATTGTTGCGTGCGCGGGTCACGTGTGATTGACCAGTTAAGTGGCAAGTGATTGTTGCACGTGTGAAAGAACGAGAAATAGTGCGTGATATGATATGTGAGATCGTGGAAATTGTGCCGTCCTGAGGTGTGTACGTTTGCGCGGGATGATGCCCGGTATTACAGGAAGACCGTCAGCCTGAGGCGTGTACTTCAACGCGGGTTGCGCAGTAGGTGGTAGATGTTGAGCCTGAGGCGTGTACGTTTACGCGGGCAAGAAACATGGCTTGAGGCGTGTACGGTAACGCGGGCCCTGGAGTTTTGTGATGAGATAGTCGCAGTGGACCTGAGGCGTGTACTGTAACGCGGGTCACTAGCGAGTGGAACGGAAAGGAATGTGATGAGGCAAACGGAAATGCGTGAAGTGTGATTTGAACATGCATGTGATTGCTTATAATACGAGTGTGACTAACATGCAGGGCGCAAGCTATATAGGTCCAGGTAAAGTAAATTGATGTGCCTGCTATGGGATTATGTGACGTAGGTGTGTGATTGTGTTTTGTGAAATTGTCTAGAGGTACGTGGTAGCCTAGGTGGGGTTTAGAGGTGAACTTACTGAGAAGTGTTCTCACGGTTGTTTCAACCAAACATTTCAGAACCCCGATCGGATCCATGAATCCTCCACCGCAGCCACCAGAGCATTTTGGGGTACCCGTGCACACCGAGTTGGACGTTACAGAGTTTCCGATGGGCGATAACTTTACCTGGATTAAGCACACTTCCACAGTATTTATAGATGTAGGTTTACCTCTTTTTGAGCATAAATACACTGCCTGGTTCTTTCGGGATGAAGCCGGGGACGAGTTCGGGCCCGTTAGGGGTTTTGATGTCCCGTTTAACTTAGTTGGAGACTAGGATCCGTCTGCTATACCCCCGATAGACGGAGAGCTGACTAGTGCGGAGACCAGTTTAGCTCAATGTGGATTGCATCCAGCAGCTGCCGCTCAGGCATCTTTGGGGGCTGAGCACGAACCCGAGCCCGAAGCATCGCAAGCTGAAGATGATCCAATGGATATAGATTTAGAACCGATCCACGGGGAAGAATCAGAGGAAATGGAGCTCGAGGTGGAACCCGAAGTGGAGCCTGAGGTAGAACCCGAGGACGAAACCGACGAGTCTGAACAGCTTGGGGAGGAGCCGGATTATATACTCCCGTATGAGCAGTATATGGATCCTAACTACGTGCCAGAATTTAATCTCTTTGAAGGACTAGTTGGGGAGGATCAGAATGAAGTTCCAGCCGAGTCGGGTGACATTAACCACCCGATCGAGATCGAGGCGGAGTCGGAGTCTTCGGAGGAGCAGACTAATTAGGAGAGTGTAGATTCGGATGACGCGGAGTCAGACTCAGATTGGACGCCGAGTATGGGGCGTAGGGGCTAATAGAGAGGTTCAGAATAGGTTTTTCAGAGTACCAATTTTGAAGGAAAGATATCCAGGTCCTCGGTCCTTTTTGTTATCGACGGATGTAGTTTGGTGTGTTCCTATATATTTAGTGACTTGTAGTTTTTGGGGTACTTGTATATGTGGTGGCTTTGTAACCGTAAATATTATGGTCTAAGTATGGCAATGGGAAATAAAAATGTACATTCTCCCTATTCTCTCCAGTTTTATTTATCAGGGATTAATTGTTAGTATCCGCTGTGGTTGTAAATCTCTGATAGCGATTTGAGGTCGGCGATATTCCTGGGACGTCGCATAAATCGACTAGGTAAGGGTAAGTCGCTTGCTCGTTGGGGTTCGAGGCGGGACAAGTTTGGCCCCGTCCGTGGCTTTGATGTTCCGTTTGACAGAGTGGGGGATTGGGATCCGTTAGCCATACCCCCTCCCGGCAGTGAGATGAGTAGTCTGGAAACTAGTCTAGCACAGTTCGGACATCAGCCTGCACCTACAACACCTGAACCTTTAGTGGCTGAACTAGACCCGGAGCCAAAAGAATCCCAGGCAGGGTATGATCCTATGGAAGTGGATCTAGGGGTAATACCAGAGGAGGAACTCGGAGAAGAAAACCCTGAAGAAGAGCTTGAAGAAGTACTGGAAGAAGAACCAGAGGACGAACCAGAGGATGAGCCTGAGGATCAGCTAGAGGAAGAGCCAGAAGGGGAGTTTGATGAGGAGGAGCGGATTGAGTTCCCGTTAGAGCCGGGTGAGGAGGAGGACAACCCGATTGAGATCGAGGCGGACTCTGAGTGCTTAGATGAGCAGGTAGCTCAGGGGCATTTAGACTCGGGTTCTGAGGAGTCGGACTCAGGTTCTGAGGAGTCGGACTCGGAGTAGACGCCATTTAGAGGGCGTAGGGGCTAGTTTAGGGGTTGTGTGAATGCCTTTTCAAGTGCCCCATTTTTAGAGTAGGGTATATCTAGGCTACTGATCCTTTTTGATATCGGTGGTGTATATTTAGAAGTTCGGTATGCATGTATATTATGTAGATTGTATATGATGGATATTGTATAAGTTTGAATAAGTAATGGATGTTTATTCTCCCTTGTACCCCTGGTCAAATATCGTCTGGGTGTTTGTGGATTTTGCTGGTGCTTTATATCTCTAATGAGTTATTTAGGGTTGGCGATATTCTGGGATGTTGCGATATTCAACCGAAGAAGGATGTCACAAGCTCGATGGGATTCGAGGCATGACAAAGTCTCTCTGCTTTTCCCTTGATTGTGCAAGTTCTTCATCGTCATCGTCATCACTTAGGAAATTTACATTTGCCAAAACTTCATCATCCGATTCACTAGATTGAGCAACTTCCCAATTTAATCCAATCAAATCTTCATCAAGCATGTCTTCACTAGAAACTTGGGGACATCTTTCTGTTTGCTCAACTCTCTCTTTATAACTTGCATAACACCCCCAACTCGGGGTCATTCATGTGACGTCCCGTTCATTATTATCTTTCGTTACACACAGGCGGAAGCATATCTCGGGACAATCACAATCAATACACACAGCGGAAATAAGACAAGAAGCATCATGAGCAAACTTTATGTTTATAGTGCATGTAAACCTATTTTAACAAGCCCTTCGGGCCATGGCAAACAACACATTTTTTCATAGCCGACTATAATTAGCAAAACCTAACTTGGGTTATCCTATACCCACTACGGCTTCTCACTCCTCGTTTCTTCACCTCTACCCTGGTCTCGTCCGCTTGGCCATCTCACATCCCACCCGTGGCTTTATCCCGTAGCCGGCCCGCTCGCACCGCTAAAGTACCGTTGAACCCATATAGGGATCAACCCATTCTCCGTTTGCGTAGTGATACCACGCCACTTACGGATGAGGCACTAAGTCCGTTAGGCCCTCATCGAACATGACAAGCGTTGTGATTCGGTGGTAGGCACGGTCTTTTCTGACATTTATCACGGTGAGCACTTCGGCTCTCATCTCCACGGGATTGTTAACGCAGGCGGGGGGAGATGCCATCCTACGGACCTGAAAAAGGGAAACAACGGGGGATGAGTCGAGAAGACTCGGCAAGTGAAAACACTACTATCAAGCGAGGACGAGACAATCGTCATTCACACAAGTCGATTCTTACCGTACCAGTATCAATGGCAATTCAAATAGCAAAGTCATGCTACGAAACCAACAAAACAAACATCAAACGTGAGTATCACACGTGAACATCATTAGATGAGAAAGAACGAATAACCATGAAACCAAGAAACGGGCTATCCAACCCATGTTACAACGTATCGTAATTTCTTTTCTCGATATTAGGGAATTCACTTACTCAACGACAAACAAAATTAGAGAACGGTTTAGAGACGAGTGAGCTCGAGAAATTTTGGGCTTCCTACTTGCTTCCTTCTTGCGTGGCCGAGCAAACCTAGGCCTACAAAGACCAAACCGTGGGCTCTTGGGTGGAAATGAGAAGAAACACGGGCTGGTTCGGGGTTGGTTTGGGCATAAGCTTCTCGGGCCAAAAGTGAGAAAAACAAGAAACAAAGGAAGAAGAGGATGATGAAGTTGGTGTCAGATGAGAAGGAAAGGGGGGGAAATGTCTTGCTATTTATAGAGAGTTTGGAAGACACTAGAAACCCTAGAAAACCCTATAACTAACCAATAAGAGAAAGCCTCTTAGTCAAATTGCATGATGGCCTTCATTTAATGCCATTAATGGACTAAGCCTCTTAGTCAAATTTCATGATGGCATATATTTAATGTTATTAATGGACTAAAATGACGAAGAGGCCAACCATATCTTCGCCTCATTGGCTCTCTCTCTCTCTCTCTCTCTCTCTCTCTCTCTCTCTCTCTCTCTCTCTCTCTCTCTCTCTCTCTCTCTCTCTCTCTCTCTCTTCCCTTGGCCGAATGGCCTTGGTTATCAAGATTCCATTATAGAATCGTCCCAGAAGAAAATATTTCAGTTTCTGCCACTATGTGTAAAGCCTTATTTTCCCCTTCATATGCCCTCCAATGAAAGTGTAACATATCTCATTTGAAAGATCATAACATGTAAATTAAATCAACAGAAGACATCAAGTCGAAATTGCAACGTTCTTAGATAGAAAATGCTGAATCTTTGAAATCTGACAAAACCAGATAGCTTTGCACTGTTCAAGAAATCGGACTTGAAAACATAGTAAATGGACTCCGAAAATTTTCAAATCTAGATATGTCATAAACAAGGCCTTAACAAACATTTTTCATGAAGAACACGAAATTTGAATCTCTCTGTAAGCACCAATTTTTAGTAGCTCAAAGATAGACTAAAAATAGTTTACTGGAATAGAATTCTTGTTTCTAAAAGTAAGCTCTGTCCATAATCCAAATCATCTCGAAAAATTCCCAAATTTATATACATTAGAGAAAAAGATGTTCTCAACAACTTTTGTGAAGGAAACTTTTTCAAAATCGGCCCAGAAAATCTTGTAAAAAATAAAGAAATAGTGAACATCACCGAAAAATCCATTCTAGGTAGTTTTACAAGGTCCGAAAATCAGGCCATCGTACCACTCATATCAAGTCCAAAAATTCTGAAATTAAAGTATGTATAACTTCATGATGTTTGGAACAACTTTCAAGCAGGAAGTGTTTGGAAATTCGGATCACAAAAGTCTCTATAAAAATAACAATATGAAGGGGTATAAAGGATCCGAAACTGGGTTTTTCCAAAACAAGAGTAAAAATTTGTTCCAATTGAAAAACTACCAAACTTAAACCAAAGCCATTTTCCAGGGACTGAAATTGAGGATGTTACAACTTGCCTCCGTCTCCGGCCTCAGCTGTTGTCTTTCAGTGCTCTCATCATCTTCATCATCGTCACTGTCACTGTAATACTCAACATATACTTTAGCTTCCTCGCCATGAAGATAATGGTAAATAATGTACTTAACACCATTATCATCACTGAAGAATCTCAAGCCATCCTTCAAGCCCTTCCCAGGAACACAATAATGCAATTTATGTACTTTGCATCGTAAATAATGCACTATGTCCCTCATGAATTTAATATATGATGGCCTCCTTACATCCAAAAAAATAGTACCTTCATTTCCACTAGCATATTCTCATTCCTTGGTGCCAATGACAAATTCCCCACCATAGCAAACAATGATGGCGACAACATTGTCCCCTATGTCCATGCTGCACCGAAAGAAAACAAAATAATTAGCTTTTGGGACCATAATGCATAAAAGCCAACAAGTTACTCTAATTGTCTCGTTAGACTAAGTCAACACCCTTGCAAGCTATTTTAATGTACAGTGATGCAATGAAATTTACCCAATGAAGAAGTACATAGTTGAGTTACAATGCACTAGATCAAACATGTTCACAGGTCTGGTAGAACATCGTAAGATATGTAGGAGTACATCTGACTTCATAATTCATATGCTTGTCCTAAAACCTGATAAATAACATTTAGACTTGCATTTTTTGAGTGTGCTTTGATCATCCATGTTACTCAAATTAAACCCTCAGAATATAGCCAACTTTTGATAATATTTTTTGTTATTGAATAGGGACAGATTGACACTCTTTTGAAGTTCAATTAGATTTCACATATCCCTGGAGTGCATAGCTATTCTGGAGAGACCTTGTCCATGAGGAATTTAATCCTTCCGTCACCTATAGACTTGCTATTTGCTTGACTAATTCTTTGTTGTGACACTATAAGGGTGATGATTATGTACATGTGGAATTCGCCGCTTTCTTAGCCTCATGTGAGTAAAATACAAGAAAGAGACGTGTGTATTACACTCTGGAGGATCCCAGAAGAAAACAAAATAATTACCAAATTGAGCCACAATGCACAAAAGCCAACAAGTTCACATGGAAGATCCCATAATCGCGAAATAAAATAACTTTAGTCGCTGTTGTTTAGTAGAAACGAAGCAACACAACTGGCACCGAGCCTTAGTTTTGCCTTCACAATCAGAACTTGAGGTCCCCACAATCACTATTTCGCAATTCCTTCTCTACTACTGTCATGCCTAGTTTATCTCTCCCCCGAAGCCTTAGTTTTGCTCTCGGAGCCATAATTGTGGCCTCGAAGCCCTAATTGTCCCCTCAGAGCCCTAATTTTGCCATCCAATTGAGCCATGAAGAGAATATGACAAACTTGAATGACTAAGGGTAAGAGATGACATGCGAGCGACAGCCGGCGATGACGGCAACGAAGCATAGCGACGACGGCGACGGACCTTCCTTCGCTTGAACGACGACCAAATGAGCCCTAATTTGGTCTTCTTTGTGCACGTCGTTCAATTATCAAGCAGGAAACGATGTCGCATTCTTCTCCCAAGCCACATAGGCGATGCAATGTCGTTATTGAAGTCCACGTGGACTTTATTTTTTAAAAAATTTGCCAAGTCATTTACAAGATTTAATTAAAAATGTCACGTATACATTTTGGTCGGAATATCTTGCCGTTGGCACTGAAGTGATCGTTTTTCCTTCGATTTGGCACTTAAGTGAGTCGGCGAAAACTTTCGGTACTAAAGTGAGCGGTGTACACAAGTTTTGGTACTTCTGCTGTTCTTCTCTCAGAGTTGTTGTTTTGTTTGCTTGCTGACTATTGTGAACTTGTGGCAAACTCCCACATGTGATATATAATATAGGCTATGGATGTATTTGATGTGAAGCTTGTGAAGTTGTGAACTTTGTGACGAATTTTGTTGTGATGTGTAATTGATCTTTGTGGCAAATCTTGTTGTCATTGTTTCTGAGGGTTTTAGGCTCATTCAATTTGTTAGCTTAAATGAGACCCTCTTGACTCTTGAGGCATGAGCAGGTTGTATAGAAGCTTGGAAAGTTGTAGAGGGCAATTA